TAGTTGAGCCCCCAGTGGAGATGCGGGGCTAGGGGGACGTAAACCTCTCCAGTCCTGGCCTGGCGATTCTCCCTCCTCCCCTCCAGCACGTGTACAGGCTCTGGGAGGAGAAACCGCTCGTGCGGAGGGACGCCCGGGACATTCCCTCCGCTCCCCAGCCTTGTCCCCAGCAGTAAATCCCACCACCAAGGACCTGCACCCTGGGCCCTGCGTCCTCTGGGTTTGGAGAGTCCCCTTTAAATTGCGAAGTGCACTGACCATCGTGTCCAGAACTGGAGCTTCCCCCTGTTTGCCAGACACTGTGGCAGGTTCTGGGCCAAGCTTTGGGTCTATCCTGTTCTCTGTCCCTCTCAGCTTCCCTAGAACATGGGGTGGTGCTGCCATTAACCCTCCTTCAGAGTAGGGGATGAGGCCTAAGAGGTGCAGTGACTTGCCCCATGTCACTAGCCAGCTAGTGAGTGATTCACTCCCAGTTTGTGTCATTCCAGGTACTGTGCTCTTTACCACTCCCCTGGGGATGGGGGCCAGTGGATCCTGTGGGTGCAGGGCTCTAGGGAGCCTTGGGGGAGGGCAAGGGCTGTCCAAACCCCTAGCCCAGGAAAAGCCAGAGCCTTAAAGGCAAGTGGGACTTTTCGGCACTAACTAGCAGCATGAAGACAGACAGATCCATGCACACCAGCTGGCTCACCCTTGGATCCAAGTTGCAGACCTTGCCTCCCACCCTCTCATTCTCTCCATTGCTTCTTCATTCTGTCCTAGGCTCTCTGCCTGTCCCTGTGCAGCCCACTGTTTGTCCCTCCTTTTCTTGCCTCCCATGACTTTCGGCACACATGCAGGGAGCTCAGGCCCCTCAAACGCAGTCAACCTCATTGCCGACCTTGGCCCAACATTTTCCCACCCTCTAGGTCTGGGCCTTGCTGTGTCCTCACCTGGTACATCCTTTGTCTTCCACCCACTGTTTGCAGCCTGGCCCAACCTAATTCATCTTAGGATGTGCCTTGTGCCACGACTAGGGCCAGTGTGTGGCTACGATGAACAGATGGGTGGGTGGAAGGACAGGAAATGATCCCACCATGGTGCCTGTACCCAACAGGAGTTAAAGGGCCATTTGTAGAATGTCTGCTGGTCTGACCTTGACCAGAGGAGACTTTTTCAGGCCCTGCTCTTGGCTGTCCTTGTGAAGGATTCTGCCATTCTGTCTGCCTGACTCCCCTGCATCTCCATGGCTGTCTTAATCAGTTCCCCTCTCCTCGGCCCTGAACCCCAGTTCCCCAGGAAGACTTGTGGAGATGAATTGACAACTTTCAAGGTAAGTCAGTGATTTCTCAGCCCTGCCTAGATACCTTTCTCTGATGCAGGAGCAGGAAGGGGCTCTTAATATAAATTTGACCCTCAGGTGTGGACAGGGGACTCATGATAGAGATGCAAGAGTGGCCCCAAGACCAACAAATGAGAGAGAGGGTAACGTTGCCAAGGCCCCAGAAATGTCGTCCTCAGACCAAGAAGGTGAAAGCCTGCTTCCACGTGACCTGCAGCCTCTGTTCAGCTCACAGAGGAGCCTGCCTTCTCCTGGGGGAGGTGTCACACCCTCAGGACCTGTGTCTACTTCATTGACCCACTTCCCTCTCACAGTGACCCAGGCCTTCTCCATATTGATTTATAGCATTAAAAGTAAATTGGAATTATTTGTATAGTTTTGCATCCAGTTTCATCTGCACAGCACTCCTGGGGGGATTTCACCCCATTTTACAGATGAGGAAAGCAGGGCTCAGGGAAGTTTAATGATGGCGCCTAGTGAGTGACAAAGCAAGGATGAAAACCCAAGGCTGCTGAGTCCCTTATTCAGTATGCCTAAAATCACGGGGAGGGGGGAGAAGTGGATTTTAAATTTGGTTGTCATTTGTGTATATATGCTTTGCATATATATATATGCGTGACTCTGGAAGGAGTTAAGAGAAACTAGGGAGAATATTTGCCTCCAAGGAGGAGAGAGGGAGACCAGAAGGGCAGGGGAGAGGGAGGAATAGGGGTGGGAGGGACACTCTGTACTGCCTCCTCCTTTCAAAAGAACTAAAATGTGTACAGCTGACTCTTGAACAGCACGGATTTGAACCACACAGCTCCACTTATACATGGTGTTGTTTTTTCCAATAAATACATTCAGTACTATAAATGTATTTTCTCTTTCTTACGATTTTCTTAGTAGCATTTTCTTTTTTCTAGCTTAGTTGACTGTAAGAATACAGCATATGACACCTATAACATACAAAATATGTGTGAATAGACTGTGTTATCAGTAAAGCTTCCGGTCAACAGTAGGCTCTGACTAGTTAAGTTTTAGGGGAGTCAAAAGTGATACGTGGAATTTCGACTGCATGGGTGTGGATTGGTGTCACTAACCCACGCATTGTTCAAGAGTCAACTGGATTACCTCTTTAACAACCAAATAAAAGTTGATCCAATTCTTTCCTTCCTGCAGCTTGACTATCAAAAATTTCCTCCCAGTGCCGGAGTGCTGGGAACTCAGGAAGATGAGAGGCGCCGATGGAGCCTGCCTGTCTCAGATGAAGCCCCAGTTGTCCCGGCAGCCATTCAGGTCAAGTTGGTAAAGCCCGCGCCCTCATTCAGGCGCCTCCTGTCTCAATTACGTGCTGTCATTAAAGCTGAATTGATTTCACTGCTCTGGAGTTTACTCTTTGGTCTCATTGGTGTCAGTGGCTCCTGGATTTTGCTGTTTCTGGAGGAAGGAGAGCGTGGGGATGTGAGGGCTGTGCTGAAGGGCTGGGGAGGAGGGCCGGAGCAGCTTGCATAGCCACACCTCACTCATCAGGCAACTTTGACCTGATCTCACTTTCCTTCTTGAAGGTACAGTGTTTTTGCTCTATAGCTGATAAGAGGCTCATCCCTACCTTGTCCACCTCAAGGCCATTCCTGTGAGCATTGGTTGAAAGAACAGGTGTCCAACGCTGCACCAACAAGCAGAATCATGCCTGCTCTTCATAGTATGTTATGCACAGGACCAACAGGCAGGCTAGAAGCCCTATGGCCTAGAGATTCTAAGATCAGAATGATCATTTTTTGTGTTTTGAATTTTTTTTTTAAACATTTCCACTCCAAGCATGTGTGGGGATGTGTGCAAGCAGTGGGATATAATGATCCTAGGCTGTGGACTCAAGACAGATCTGGGCTTGGCTTCCAGCATCACTGGCTGTGTGACCTGGGGCAAGTTGCTTCACCTCTCTGAGTCTGTTTTCTCATCTGTAAGATGGGACTAGAGCAGCCGTGGGCAAACTACGGCCCGTGGGCCGGATCCGGCCCGTTTGAAATGAATAAAACTATTGAAAA